TGAACACATTTGGCCCTTTTCCGTATAAACTATTAACACGTTTATATAGAATCGAGCTTATTCACTCTAAATTTTTAAAATCTGCAACGGTCTAACTTGAGCGGATTTTGTGGCAAACAAATGTGTTTGGTAATGAAAACGAATATAAAGTACACGATTAAACTTCCGTAAGAGAACAGAGAACATTATTGCACTTCAAAATCGTAATTTTGAACCGCAGTTCGTCTTCCTGTTGAAACTAACATGATAATGTTACTTTTATCACGAAAAATATTTGCTCGTATCAACGTTCACACCAATTAATATAAGTATAACTTTTTATATTAATTTCATATAAAACTCTTACAGTTAAATTATTCGATATTCTTATTTATTTTTACTACAACATTTAATGAAATATAAAAATATCCGCTTGTCGGTAATACGGCTGTGACACAAAACATCACGTGGAAAAAATGTGAAATACTAACACCACATTTGTCTTAAGAGGTCACGTTTGTATTCCTTCATTCAAGGGCTAATTGCATTGAACGAACATAGATAAAGTGCTTCAATAATTTCGTTCATCTTCAATCATATAAAAGTTCATATTCTAAAATACTGTAGATAGTATACACAAATAATATGGAGCCTGGCCCACAAACTTTTAATTTGTTTGTATTATTTGCACTCAATCATATAATTATCACTCCCGCTAGAGCTTACATGCGTCAAATTGACAGAAATATTAGTGAGTTTTGTCCTAACTGTAAAATGAGCCGGAATCTTTAGAATATATCTTCACACATTGCTCCTTTTTTCTTCGTAATCATGGTGTTAGGATTAAGCTTGTGCCCATTTCAATTAATCTTACGGGGTATCTGATAATTTTCATAAGCATAAGTATCAAGAAAATTATTCCATTAAGGATCAAACATATATAGGAGGAAATCACTCACTATTTTGTTTCTGCTACAATTTGAACATGAGAATCATGGTTCTCGACCCAGTTCGACAATTAAACTACACCCTCGAGTGCATTCACACACTGGCCCATTGTCAATTCCTTCTGAAGGACCATGACTATTAACTCTATAAGAATAAATTATGCGGAACAAGAACAATGAATTATGTATCTTTTTGATGCAGCGGAAATCTTTAACTCACCACCAAAAGAATTGTCATAAGTCAAAATTTGATTTGCTAGGAAACAAAATTAATATATGAACTAAATGCCTTGATCATGAGTTCTTTTTGTTGACGATGGTATTCAATTGAAAGAGATCTCTGGCGGCTAGGTTTAGCAATGTATCACATGATATCAAAGTTGCCTCCTTAAACACATTAACAGGGATACGTGGCTTCATCATAGCTCTTGCTCTTTACTTGTTTGTTTTAATTTTAGCCATAGGATCTTCTTCTAGAACTTTCTTGTACATAAACTATAGTTAGTTTATTTAGAGCACATGTTTTGCCAGCTAGTGGAGGAAAACACACACACACACACACACACACACACACACATATATATATATTACAACACTGTATAGAATAACCGTCTGAGATATCAAATGCAAAGTAATTTTACTTTCAATTGCATTTCTTCTTCTCCAAGTTTTACATGGTATCAGAGCATATCAATTTCACCAGATTCAATTGCGATTTAGTATGCAAAATTTTTGGAATATCAGTAATCGTTTCATCTTCTCTCGTTGAATATGGTTTTGACTGAAGATTCTGGTTCCAGTGCTTCCGCTGATTCTCCTGCTCCAATAATGGCGAAAATTGATCATCTTCATCCCTATTATCTTCATGCATCCGATTCGCCAGGTATGGCCTTGGTGTTTTCTGCTTTCGATGGGACTGGTTATGGATCATGGAGGAAATCTATTCTAGTCTCCTTATCTGCTAAAAACAAACTTGGATTCATAGATGGGACGTTAGTTAAACCAAAGGAAAATTCTGAGTTTTTAATCTGTGGACAAGGTGTAATGATATGGTTTTTGCTTGGCTATTAAATTCTCTTACCAAGAAAATTAGATCTAGTGTAATTCATTCTAAGTCTGCACATGATCTATGGAAACAGCTTGAGAAGAGATATGGACAATCTAATCTAGCGCAATTATTTGATCTACAAAAACAAATAATGGAAACTGTACAAGGTTCAAACAATATTGCAACATATTTCAACAATATGAAAGGCATATGGGATGAGATTGATCTACTTGATTCTAGAGTTGTATGCAGTTGTGTTGATTGTAAGTGTGGGGCTGTAGAGAAAAACAGTGCACTTGAAGAAAGGCAGAAATTAGTGCAATTCTTAATGGGTCTTAATGAGACATATACTGCATGTAGAGGCAATATAATGATGATGAATCCCTCACCTGATATTGATCGAGCTTATTTTCTGTTACTACAAGAGGAAAGACAAAGAAGTATACAACCTATGGGGATTTTACCTACAAACTCTATCTCTTTCTCTGTTACTAGACAGTCATCCAATTTAGGGCAAGGCAATCAGAGATTCAATATGCAACAAGGATCATTTTACAGTACTTCAAAGCTCAATTCCTATCAGGACAATCGGAGAAATAATTCAAGCTGCAAATACTGCAAGAAGACAGGACATACTATAGAAAAATGCTTAAGCTTCAAGGATATCCCACAAATTTTCAACAGGGAGGATTTAAGAACAACAAACCAAGGGAGAATGTACAACCAACTTTTTATAATTCAGCACATGGCAATGCCATCAACACTTAGCCAGACTCTACACAGCCTACAAATACTGATGTGTCTATTGGATTAAATCAAGAGCAAATTTCTCAATTGATGGAGATACTACACCAAGTCAAAATTGGCCAACAAACTACTTCTAATTCTGAAGCAAATATGACAGTTATCTGTGCTGGTATTGCTTCCTTTACTATCCTAACTACTTCTAAGAATTCTATTTGTCATTTTTGGATACATGATTCTGGTGCCTCATAACACATAACTTTTGATGAATCTATTCTTTTCAACATCAAACCATTATCACAACCTGTTTTTGTCAACCTACCTAATTCTTTTAGGATTAAAGTCACACATGTTGGACGATCTTGTATCCATCCCGATCTCACTCTTAACAGAGTGCTTTTAGTTCCTAGTTTCAAATTTAACCTTTTATCAGTTCACAAACTATGCTCACAATTTAACAGTCTGCTTACCTTTTCTGCTACATCTTGTTTCTTACAGGGCCCTTCCTTGAGGAGGCCTCTGGATCCTGGTAAAGTGAAGGATGGACTCTATCTGCTGCAGACCTTTCATCCCATGTCTGGAACTCACCTGCAAACAAACCAAACAATTTCATTTCCTGTTAATAATTGTCATCAGTCTGTTTGCACCCTGTTTTCTAATTCTGAATTTTCTTGTGGAACTTTATGGCATGTAAGACTTGGGCATATGCCCATTTCAAGTATGAAACACATCTCTGTTCTACCACAGAATGCTTTTGTTTCTAATCCTCACCCTTGCTCTATTTGTCCTCTAGCAAGACAACATAAGCTACCATTTCCTAAATCACCTCTTCCACATCACACATATTTGAACTTATACATATTGACACTTGGGGACCCTATAAAACAACTACTTATGATGGTTTTAAATATTTTCTAACCATAGTGGATAATTTTAGTAGGGGAACTTGGACCTACCTTTTGAGCAACAACGACAATGCTTTCACTATTCTCAAATCCTTTATTGCCATGGTGAAAGACAATTTGACACCAACATTAAAGTCATTCGATCTGATAATGCCTTAGAACTAGGGAGTGGTTCTACTGCTGCTGCTTATTTTCAGTCTAAAGGGATCATTCACCAAACTAGTTGTGTAGCCACCCCTCAACAAAATGGTATAATTGAGAGGAAACACAAACACCTACTTGAAACCTGTAGAGCCTTGCTATTTCAATCCAAAGTTCCTACCATTTATTGGGGTGAATGCCTCTTAACTGCCACCTTTCTTATTAACAGATATCCTACCAAATTGCTTCACCACAAGACACCTTATGAAATTCTTTTTGGCAAATCTCCTAACTATAATATACTTAAGTGTTTTGGTTGCCTTTGTTTTGCCTCTACTTTGTCTCATCAAAGAGGAAAACTTGATCCTAGGGCTATTGTCTGTGTATTTCTTGGTTACCCTTTTGGGAAGAAAGGCTATAAGCTCCTAAACTTGCAAACTAACCATGTTTTTATTTCTAGAAATGTTGTGTTTCATGAATCCATTTTTCCTTTTTCTGTTTTGCCTTCTACTTCTTACCCCCTCTTTCCTGTTTCCCCTACTATGTCTTCTTCCAACTATCTTCTCTCTATCCCTTCTTCTCATCCTAACTCTCCTCTTCCTAATGATTCTCATCTGAGTCCATCCTTATCCTCCCCTCCTTCTTTTTCTTCTCTTCTTCCTTCCTCTTCTCCTACATCTCCTATACTATTCCCCTCTAGTTCTGCCTCTTCATCTACCTCCACTGATACCTCTATTCCTATGTCCCCTACCCATTCTGCACCTTCTCTTGTTCCTCTTGAGGCTCCCTTGCGCAGGTCATTAAGAGAACACAAAACACCTGCCTACCTTTCAGATTTTATATGCAATGCTATCCATCTTACTGATGTTTCTACCCCTTGCTTTCTTTCTCCTATTTCACCTAATGTTCTATCCTTTTCCACCCTATATCCTCTCAGTCGTCAGCTTGTTAATTCTATTTCCCACATTCATGAACCCACTTCCTTTTCTCAAGCTGTTACTCATCCTGGATTGGCAAGAAGCCATGGCTAAGGAATTGGATGCTTTATTGTCCAATGAGACTTGGACAATAGTTCCTCTACCACCTGGGAAAAAGGCTCTACCCTGCAAATGGGTTTAAAAAGTGAAACTTAAATCTGATGGCAGTGTTGAAAGGCTTAAGGCACGTTTGGTTATTAGAGATGACACTCAACGTGAGGGTATTAACTTCACTGAAATGTTCTCTCCGGTTGTTAAAATGACTATTATTCGTTGCATTCTCGCTATTATTGTTAAAAAGGGTTGGGGTCTTTATCAACTCGATGTTAATAATGCTTTTCTACACGAGGATCTACACAAAGAAGTCTATATGAAATTTCCTGCTGGTTTTCCTTCCCCCTCTCCCACTCATGTTTGTCGCCTTAAGAAGTCTCTCTATGGGCTTCGTCAGGCCTCGCGCCAGTGGTATGCTAAGCTCACTGCTGCCCTCAATTTTAAAGGGTTCTCCCACTCGCTCAATGACTACTCTCTCTTCTACAAGAAGTCTGGTTCATCTATCTCACAAGTGGTTGTGGTTCATCTGTCTCACAAGTGGCTGTGTACATTGATGATATACTACTTACTGGCAACAATGAGCAAGAATTGACTGAATTGAAACATTTCCTTGATGCTGAATTTAAAATTAAGGATTTAGGGCACTTATCTTTCTTTTTGGTCATGGAGATTTTGCAGGAGCCTTCTGGTTTGCTTGTTAGCCAACGCAAATGTACTTTTGAACTGCTCATAGAATTTTCTTGTTTGGATCTTTCTCCAGTCACCTCCCCTTTGGACCCCTCTATCAAGCTCTTTGCTGGAGTTGGTCCTCCTATCCCTGATCTTTCCATTTATCGTCGTCTTCATGGTAAGCTCAACTTGCTCACTCATACTAGGCCAGATCTTTCTTTTGCTGTTCAACACCTATATCAGTTTATGCAAGATCCTCGTTCTCCTCACCTGGCTGCTGCCATGCATTGTCTTCGCTACCTCCTAAAAGATCCTGGTCTTGGTCTTTTCATGTCTTCTTCCCCTTCTTTTGATCTTCTCGCTTTTTGCGACTCCGACTGGGGTTCTTGCCCTGATTCTCGCCGTTCCATTAGTGGTTTCTTCATAAGTTTGGGTGGTTGTCCCATTTCTTGGAAATGCAAGAAACAACCTTCTGTTTCTTTGTCTTCCGCCGAGGCGGAGTATCGCTCCATGCGCCGTGTAGTGGCAAAATTAACCTGGCTTCACCGCCTTCTTACGGATATCTCTGTGCCTCCCTCTTTACCGATTCCCCTTCATTCTGATAGCCAAGCTGCGATCCATATCGCTAAAACCCTGTTTTTCATGAGAGGACGAAACACGTCGAACTTGATTGCCATTTTGTCCGCCAACAGTTTCAATCTGGTCTCATCTCCCTTTCCTTTCTTCCTACTCGTTCTCAATTGGCCGATATCTTCACCAAACCTCTTTTTGGGCCTTCTCATCGTGAGCTCCTGAGCAAGTTGGGGGTTCAATCTCCCCCCTCCAACTTGAGGGGGGGGGGGTGTTGACGATGGTATTCAATTGAAAGAGATCTCTGGTAGCTAGGTTTATGCAATGTATCACATGATATCAAAGTTGCCTCCTTAAACACATTAACAGGGACACGTGGCTTCATTATAGCCATTGCTCTTTACTTGTTTGTTTTAATTTTAGCCATAGAATCTTCTTCTAGAACTTTCTTGTACATAAACTATAGTTAGTTTATTTAGAGCACGTGTTTTGCCAGCTAGTGGAGGAACACATGTATATATATATATATATTACAACACTGTACAGAATAACCGTCTGAGATATCAAATGCAAAGTAATTTTACTTTCAATTGCATTTCTTCTTCTCTAAGTTTTACATGGGGGATACAAACAATAATCCTTTTCTCTGTTAGAGATAAAATGAGCGTTCTCTTTAGGGGAGAAGAAGAAGTTCTTCATTTACCCCCACACAACCCACGTTGTTCTTTTTATTAACTGTACAGTTTTTCTCTTCAATAACTTCCTCCAAAGAGTTAATTTTTATCCCTTCCAAAATGGGCGGAGTCAGCCCACGGAGGACCCAAGATCCAACATCCAATATCATCCACTTTGCTCATAGTAGGTTAGACTCAAAAGTATAATGTCATATCAATAAGACACGTAGTTTATATTGGCAAATTATTTGTGCGGCTTGCAAGCATCAAGAGCTGTAAATTTTATACCTATTAAGGTTGTACAAAAGCTTCATGTATAAATCCAATCACATGCGAAAAGGATTCACTACTAACATGAGAATATTATTACTCCTCGCGATGCTCCAAACATCATTCGCTACTTCAATAGCTTATTCAATCCTTCATCCTCGAAAAAGGTGAACTCAAGTTCATTTATAATATTGTACCACAATTACATTAAATACCCTCATGGTGAGTGTAATGGGCGAACTGTGGATACAAATAAAAAACTATTTTTGTTGTCCTTCCTTTCTACTCGAACCTATATGTTCCAGGTTAGCTGATTTCCTAGACATGTATTGCATTTCCTAAACAGTCATGACTATTAGTGACATATTAAAGTAACAACAACTTCAAAAGACAGTCAAAGGTCAAAGGGTACTTTAATGAAAAGTTAATGTAACTTTTTGGGATCTCACACAATGAAGAAGCAGGGATTCATTTTTCTACTACCGCATTGGTCGCTTAGCACACGTGATATGAAACACATATTATGATGTCATTACCTTAATCTGGCGCATATGTGTCATTCTCAAATATTAAAGACCGTACAGATCTCTAAACGCCTCCAAATGTTTAACCCAAAATTTTCATTCAAAAAATCCTCAAATCTAACCTTTTGAAAAACTCACATCTAGCTTACAAATAAGTCATAAGGATGGTGGAATCTTAGTCTAAGCTCTAGTCAAGACCAACCATTTTATTATGATTCACGACCTTATACAAATCAAGGTTCCAATAGGTCTTATCTCTGCACGTTTCTAGATGACAAGGGCGATTGCTTGTGTGAAAGAGTTGATCTCGCGATTTGTTCGATACATTTATATTCTTCACAAGGATATCATTACATACATACAGAATATCAGCATAATTGATAGTTTATAAGGGTCTACCAAACTCCATAGAAAATTAGGTTCTCTATCAGGTTCAACAGTACATACACACACAACAGTAAATAAATGACAAGAGAAATTTTACATGGAAAATTCCTAGCTCAACGGGATTAAAAACCACGACCTACTCTTGCAGGATTTCAACTTCACTACTGAGCAACTTTCAGATTAAAACCTATGCAACCTAGGAATTAAACTTTTATCCCTCACTAACTTGTAATACTCTATTACAAGACACTTTGTAATAACTCTATTACAAAGACTTTACAACATGACTAACTCTAACCAAGACTCAAACACTCTGGTTTAAGGTTTACAAAGGGTTCCTATAGAATGCTTCTAAATAAGCTAGATAGGAATTACAATTGAAGAACTATTACAAAGTCACAACTCAACTAAGGACATACAATAACTCGATATGGGAACTGGTCTGTAGTTGCTTTGTTCTTTGTTCTTGAAGCACTTGAAACTCACATGCTGGATGTTCACGTCAGTAGTCTTTTTTTGTGAAATCTCTAAGTGTTCAAGTGCTGTGTTTTACCTCCCTTGAATGTATATATACATGTGTGACATCACTTACAATGATGTAAGCAATGTAGGTAAAACGTCTTCCCTGAAAAGTTGACTGCAGCACTGTTCCTACACTATAGCATGTGCAGGCAGATCTTTTCCAGTTGGAGAGTTGACTTCGTACATTCTCCTCGGGAACTGGTAGGGACCTGTTCCCTCAATTGTCCCTTCCACTTTGAAGAGTTAAATCATACCGCAAGCTGGATCTTAAACTAGAACCTTGTGATCTTAAGGTCTTGTAAATGTATAATAGGTTCCTTATTTGGTTCGTGATATTAAGTTTGTTATATCATCAAAACATAAAGTAAAGTACTTATGACCAAAGTACTTGTAACCTATCAATTTTTCCCTTTAAAATGATGACAAACTCATAATATAAAATCCCAGAAAGAGCCACATAGAACCAGAAAGACCTTAAGTTTCCCCCTGAAGCTCTGCATTCCCCCTTAATCAGTGCAATTATTTTTCCCCTTTGGCATCATAAAAAGATTAAAAAAAGGTAAGCAAGAAGGAAGTCCAGTTTTAAATTAACTCATGCCACTTATGTGCACACAGTCATGATTAAGAACAGAGCAGAAAAGCACGGTATAAACAACAACAAGGGAAAAGCTTGCATTAACATAGTTTTGGATTTTATAGCAAGAGTAGAATCAATGTTACTACCACATCCACACATTAGAACAATTAACAAAACTACCACAAGTTATCATCATAAGAACTAACACGGAGAGACTGGACACTGAGGGGACAGTTTTAAGAAGCACTGGGAGGAGAAGGTTTGGAAGCAGAGGAAATTGTTTGGAGGACTAAATCCATTCGTGCATTTGCTGAAATTTTCTCATTGAGCAGTCTTTCTTTCAGGCCCTCCACTTGTTTCCTGAGCTCAGCATTCTCCTTTGTCAGGTGAGCAACATCTTCGTTCTGAGAGTGACTGGAACCAGGTGCCTCTTGCAGCTAACTTATCTGAGTCTCAAGGATAGCATTTCTTGCTTTTAATTGCCTTATCTTAGTAGTAGCACTATTTTGAGCATTTATTAACTGAGAAATAGTAGAAGTGCTTGCAACCTCTCCAAATTCTTCTATACACTCACATTCTTCAAGAGTGCATTTTGAAAAAGTTTGCTTCTTGGCACCCACTTTAACTAGTCTGAAAGGAACCTTGAAGTGATCAAAGACCTTGGTAAGAAGGAAACCATATGGTAGCCCATGATTACCATCTTTAAAGTCAGCCACTTTGTTCATGTGTTTTATCATGATCCTAAGCATATTGATGGTAGTAAAGTCATCTAGTGCTTCCATGAGGAACAGGTCTGCATGAGATGTGATGGATCTTCGCTCAGCTCGAGGCAGCAACACTTTGTTTACCATCTCAAATAGCAGTTGGTAAACAGAAAGGAGGGCCTTCTTTTGAACTCGTTCCCCCTACTGAACTACTCTGTCCTTAAAGATTGCGTTTCTGAAGTTCTGAGTACAAGCTCCTTGAACACTTGATATCCCTTCAGTGGGCACACCAAGAATAGATCCCAACAAGGCAGAGTCTATTACCATATCAACCCCATTCACCAAGGCACAAATGTGACCATCCTCAACCTTGTACAAGTCGGCATAAAAGCTTTGAACTTCCTCCTAATATACCCTAGCAACATCATTTGTGAACAAGTGTGTCCATTGTTGGAAATCACATATCTCAACTAACTGTCTCATACCAGCCTCCTCTAAGACATCAGAGGCGAATGTGCGCCCCTATAGTACCTTTTGACTTCTCAATCTTTTTTTCCCAACACTCCTCGGATCATCGGCTTTGGCCTTCTTTGAGGAACCAGGTTCCTCATTAATATCAACCTTTCTCTTAGCAGTCTTGCGAACACCTTTCTCCTTTTTATCAGACTTCATAGATTTTTCACCTAACTCTTTCTCCACATTCTCAGTAGCAATAGCATCAGCAGACCTTGTCTGACGTTTATTAGACATAAAAGATCCCCCTTTTGGTTTGAGAAGACCAACCTTTTGTGACAACTTCCTAGTCAATGTACTAGGTTCCTCCGCTTGTTCTTCATCCACACTCACAACCGACACTATCTTCTCATTTACAACTTTGCCATCTTTCACCAATTTTCTTCTCCTTGATTTAGTCTGACTGTTCTTAAGAGTAGAGTCAAGAGCCTCATTCTTTTACAACCTTGTTGTGGGTTGCTTAGGAGTGGTCTCTCCACCAACAGCTACTCTACGCCTAGGCAGACTGGCAGTTGGTAAGTGATCAGAATCTTCTTTACTATCCTCCTTTTGATTTTCAGATACAAGACCTTTCTCAGGCATAATTACACTTAGAGGCTCAACATCTAAATGAGGAGAGAGAGCAAGGTCAGTACTGACCTGGGGTTCCTGAGTTGGATCCTTCGAAGGCGGATCAGGTCCTCCAGCAGGTTTCGTAATAGCACCTTCCTGTGCTGAAGGTTCAACAGGCACATGCTCATTATCCTCTCCAACATGCTCAGATTATTCCCCCTGAGTCTTAAGACCATCCTCACATCCTCCGCCAAAAACCCCTTCATTGGCAATGGACGACATATTTTCGATTGCTTTCTTTTCTTGCAGATTCATGAGTAGTTGAGGAGAAGTAGGAGAGGCACCCGTGGATGGGGATTCAGGAGCAGTCTTTGTTAAGTCAATGATTTTATTTCCCTTAACCTGGTCTTCTTTTGACTTTTCTTCTATAGGAGAACTTGAGATTTTTCGATTTTTTCATTCTCAGCAATACTCATGACATCCCTCTTTTTTGGCGAGGTAA